TTCTGCTTCAAATTTTGTTGTTGCACTGACTCACCTGTTTTTACAGGTCTTGTATTTTCAAGCCCCGCAAATATGGTAATCATTTCGAACAAGGACGACTATGACAGGGCAATTAAACAAGTTACAGGTAATATTTTTCTATTTTGATGATGCCGATTACATTTTATGTTGGTTTATACTAGATTGAAGTGGTGTTTGTTTGGATTGGGAAAGAAAAGTTGGGACAAACAGCACTTTTCTGTAATTTAATAAGGGCCTCGCCTACTCAATGGCCTCCTGCTTTACACGCAGACGTAGTGAAGGGATGGAAATGGCAAATCCAAAATCCAACTTGGCGGCCATAATTAAACTTGAACCGAACCGATTAAATAGTACTAATTTCGATTCTGTTTTGAGATGAAAACCAAATCGAACCAGATCCCGCCCACCCTTAGTAGCCACAATGGCTATAAAGTTACTAACAGTTGGGTTTTAATTCAATCAACTCACATTGAATATTCACAAGTGGGCCATGTTAAAGAAAAAAAAAAGTACGGTTACAATACAAGCTACAGACATAGAGCATGAAATACGGTTACAATACAAGTACAGAGTTTTATGAAATAATATTTTATTTTATTTTATTTTACATATGTTATGGATTAGTTAATTTTTTCAACATCGATACATGCAAAATTTGTACCAAGTCCCACATGCTTAGCTCTTGAGTTATACAAAACAAAATAGTCTAGATATCAATAATGGAAACAAAAACAAAAACTGTAAATAAAAACAGAAATTGCAAACAAAAACAAAAAATGAAAACCAAAAAATTCATACCAACAGCTAGTAAAAATAGCCAAAACCAATAAAATCATATCATTGTTACAAAAAAATAATAGTTTTCCTCTTTCTGTAAAGCCATATACAAATATATTTATAATGCATTAAACCACATAAAGATAGTGCATACAAATCCAACGTTAAAACAGTAATTTCAAACAATAAACTTTAGTGCCAAGAATATATTATAATTGCTTCTCACGTTGGTATGAAGGACTTCCAAAAGTAAGAACAATAAAACAATATGAAGTCCAACCAAAAAAGATATAAAGGACCGTTATATAAAGGAAGATTGATGGCAACCAAAGTGAATGAAGGCAAATGTACAAAGGCCCAACACAATAAAATCAAATACATATACTTGTTCTAAATATATATATATATATATATATATATATATACATATCTGATAAACAGAGGGAACTGAACCAAAAAACTACTAGGAAGAACAGGGATGAAGAAGTAGCAGAATAGGAAGCAGATGGGAAGCGACTTAAACAAACAGAATATAAAAGAACAAATAATAAATGCATGTATGAAATTAAATTACTCAAAATATTGATAACTTTTTATAAATTTAAGGCTTAAAACAACTGATAGATACTCGAGGAGGATACATAGAAGCTCTCAAGTTTCGCACAGTACTGAAAGTTCTAACTGAGGGAATCTCAGAGAGAACTCTAAAACTGAAAACTAAAATGTATTCTGCTTACCGAAGCCAACTTATATCGACTTAGGACTTACTATGATTAAATTAAAAGTAACTAGGGTACAACAAAAGTAACTTAGGTAAATGAAAAGTAACTCAAGTAACTTTGACTAGAGAAACAACTTTCAGTCTTTCACTAACTTTCGGCTACTTTAACTTCGGCTTTAACTTGGAAAAAAGACGGCAATTATGGCATGTGCTTTTACTTGGAATCTTCATAATGACATAACGACTGTTGGCAACTTTAGTCTGATCTTAGGCCATAGGCATCATAAGGATTCTGGGCGAACTGTTGGAGCGGCTCAATGGGCTCATCATCATCATAATCTGCCCATCGCTTGGATTTGGCAGGACTCTGCTGACAAGAAGGAGGCTGAGGCTGACTTGGAGATGACTGGGGCTTAGGAGAAGCATCTTCATCATCATCCATTTGGGATGCTTGACTAATCAACTGTCGGGCGATTTCTTGCAACTCTACTTTAGATTTTCCCTGGGTAGAGGGAAGTGATAGATTCTTCAGAGGGGGAACGTCTGGGCTTTGGAACCGAAGGGGCAGCAACCTTTGGATAATCATTATAAACATATACTGCAATTCTATTAATTCAAATTTATCCCACCACTTCACGAGAAATTGGCGGGTCATAACTCTGGCTTCTTGATCAATCTTATAAGACCACTTGAGAATCCACGGAATCTTATACTTGGCAATAAAAAGTAACTTCTTGGGAAAAAATAACTCTTGCTCAGTGCATTTGTGCTTCTGGGTGAAGTAGCAGATTAACTCATGAACTTGTTCTGGCAAAATTGCTTCAACTGGACCATGAATATCCCACCAATGGAGGAACCAATAGGGGAATGGACTTTTGAACTTATTATCAAAATTAATAAACCATGAGTGACTGAATTCAACTGTTTGATGTAGGAAAATAGAATACCGGGCTTCAATATAATCAGAATAATTATATTGCAACTCAGACAACTGAAGGGTTTTCAATTCATAGGGGTGACTTCCAAATTCTTGTTGGCTTAGAATCTTGTTAATATAAAGGGAATGGTAGAGAATGATACTAGGGTTCTCACGATCCCGGATAGGCTTAATATCAACTGACTGGGTGTCTTGCAGGATTTCTCTATAAAACTTAAGAGACTTGTAAGGACTCTGGGGCATGTAGTGGAAACCAGGGGGAAAATAGTGTTTAATGATGGCAACTGGGTCGGCAAGGGGGCGCTAACAGGGCTTAATTACAAATAAAAGGGAGCTACCTTTAGGCAAATATGGGGACGTTTTTCTGAGATGACTCGAGGAAGGGGCTGTAGGTGCAACTGGAGGACCTATATGGAAGGGATCATAACTGGCAACTAAGGCTGACTGGTAATTAGGGCGGACTTGACCAACTGTGGTACCCAGGCTAGAGTACCGATTACTTATCTGGATAGGGGATTGGCCTGCAAAAGGGACAACTGAGGAAGGCTGGGCAACTCAGGATTGACTCATTGATGCTGGGAGGATTCTGGGCAACTGGGGCGACTGAGATTGGCTTTCCTGGGCCTTTTGCTTATCTTTTCTACTGGCCATTGCTTATCCTGAAGAAATTCTCGAGTGAGGAAATCAGGAACAGAATTCTCACTACCTCTTAAATACTCAATATGAAAGTCAAAAATACTTAAAATAGCTTGCCAACGTGCAATATTTGTTTGGATGCAATGTTTTGAACGTCTTTTTCGAGTACATGCTTAGCAGACCTACAATCAACTCGGATTAAAAACTTTTGATTTAATAAATCATCTTGAAACTTAGTAATGCATAATACAATAGCTAATATTTATTTTTTAATAGTACTATAATTAGACTGCAACTGATTCCAAATACCAGAATGAAAACGGACAATTTGTTCAACTGGATTGGACTTGGTTGTCTGTTTGAGAATGCCACCATAACCTGTGTCAGAGGCATCAGTTTCAACTATTTTAAAAGAATCAACTGAAGGAATACCAAGACAAGGAAGTGTCTTGACATGGGACTTAATTTGTTTGACAACTTCTATATGGATAGATGACCATGGAAGAGGATTAGCTTGCAATCTGTCAAATAAAGGCTTACACTGTTTTCTCAGATTCTGATAGAAATCAGAAACATAATTTAAAGATCCTAAAAATCGCTGCAACTGATACTTATCAAGGATTTGATCAGGAAACTTATTAGCAAATTGAATAACTTGATCTATAGGACTTATCTGAGCTTGATAAATATTGAAACCAAGGAAACGGATATTAGTTTGAAACAACTTGATTTTCTTTTCAGAAACAACTAGACCATTGTGTTTGACAACTCGGAGGAATTGATGCAAGTGTTTCCAGTGCTGTTCTATAGACTCAGAGAAGATGAGAACATCATCAACATAAACTATAGAGAAATGGCTATAAGGGTTAAATATTTCATTCATTATATTTTGGAACTCACTAGGCGCATTTTTTAATCCAAAAGGCATAACATTCCACTCATAATGACCAAAGGGGGTGACGAATGATCTCTTATATCTATCTGACTCTTCTATTTGGATTTGCCAGAAACCACTTTTCATATCAAACTTAGAGAAGACAATTGCATATTGTAATCGATTAATCAAATCACGCTTATTAGGAATTGGGTATCTAATCCATTCTAAAACAGTATTTAAAGGCTTATAATTAATAACTAATTTGGGTGCACCACGTTCTAACTCAGCATTTTTCTGAACATAGAAAGCAGGGCACAACCAAGGTGACTTAGACTTACGAATTATTCCTTTCTTAAGCAACTCCGTTATTTCATTCTTACAAAATTCCATTATTTCTTGACTCATTTGAATTGGACGAGCTTTTGTAGGAATTTGTTTCTCATTAAAACTTTTGATATAGGGAAGGCTAACAATCTGTTGTTTCTTGTGCTAGAAAGCATTAGCCAAATCAGAACCAATCTCATTTTTCAACTTATCTTCAAACAATTGAATTTGTAATTGTAAGGGCCAATTTTCTAACTGTTGTTCTACTCTTTTGAACTTGACTTCTTCTTTAAGATGACTTAAATGTTTGCTTTTGTTTTGAATTATCTTAATTGTCTTAGAGACGGCAGATTTCTGTAAAGCTGTTAAATTATGAAACTCGGGTTTAGACAAAAAATCAAACTTAACAGGTTCTCCTAACTGGGTAGGTATGACACCATCATATTCAACTTGGAAAGGATACAACAGGGTTATAAAAGGTAATCCTAAAATGACTCCATCAGTTATATTTTGAACTAGGACAAATGACATTTTAAAACAAATTTTGTTTTGGCAAACATGGGCTTTAAGTAATTCATAATTCAACTGAAGCATCTTTCCTAAAGCAGTACTTAAAGATTCTCTAGTTTTCTTATAATACTTAGTGGGAATTAGACCTTCTTGAATGCAATTTTGATCGGCTCCTGAATCAAAGAGGGCTACAGTTTTTATCCCATAGCAGGTCTCTCCTCTGAATCAACTTCTCTTAAAATCGATACTAATGGAATAACACTTTTGATGCAGAAAGCAACACGAGACCAAAAATTAACATCATATAGTATAGTTGAGTGAGCCCTAATACCTTCATTATGTTGGACAAATGGTCCATTGTGCCATTCTCTAGAAGAAAACATTGCCTGAAGAGGTTGCTTTTGCTTATAGATGCTTTGAAGAGTAAGATAAGAAGTGGCAAACCGTGTGATTGCAGGGCGAATTATCTCTTTGTTTTTCGTGAAAGATCTCATCAAAGCAAGAACCCATGTATGCCCATAAATAAACTTCACTACTTGCTTGGCTAGTCTAATTGTATCTTCAAAAACTTTCATTTTGCTAATATCTTCTAACATCAAATCAATGCAGTGGGCAGCACATGGAGTCCACCATAACTTCTTCCTCTTCTCCATAAGTTTCACTCCAGCATTCTTATAATTGGAAGCATTATCTGTTATTACTTGAATGACATGCTCCTCTCCAACTTCTTTGACAACATCATCTAAATATTTGAACAATAACGTTCCATTTTTTATGGAATCAGATGCATCAATAGATTTCAAAAACCAAGTACCTGCTGGACTATTCACAAGAAAGTTTATTAGTACTCTATTTTTACCATCAGTCCAACCATCAGACATAATAGTACATCCATACTCTGCCCAAGCTTTCTTATGTTCTTCTATCATCGTATTAATGTAGCCAACTTCTTCCTTAAGGATCCAAGTCCTCAGCTCATGCATTGATGGAGGCTTAAATCCTACACCATATGCGGCAATCCCTTCCACCATAGGTAGCCAAAATGGATCATTTACAATATTAAATGGGAGTGCTCTAGAGAAGAAAAAACGACCAATCTTTCGACAAACTTCCTTTCTTTCTTCTTGTTTGTATGCTGAATTTAATGTACTTTGCCGAGCTTCTAAAGTGACAAATCTATCCATTGGTCCTTTTGATTTAGGTTGTGCTCTAAGAGTCTCATCAACTGCAGCACTCCTAGTACCAGGGATTCCATATTCTTCATCCAATGAAGTTTCCATACTCAGAGCCCCTCCTTCTAGACCATCCCCAATCTCTCTAAGCATTTCATTTTTCTTTCTTTTTTCAAGCTGAAGATTTTTCAAAGTT